CAATGTATGCACAAATAACTTTGAAATCCTGTTTATCTTGACTCTAAGAGTACTGTACTTTCACTTTCCAATAACTTAGGTTTGAAATGTCCAATTTGAATGAATGACCTCTCATTTTAAAGATCACATACTCAGGTATTTGAAAATACCAATAACTTTAATTTAAATTTTTGCTACAACTTAGCCATTTTGCCACAACATGCCTCAATTTTACAAGTCAAGCGAAGTCTGTATTATTTTAGTGTGCAACAACACGAATAAACGCCCCCACGGTAGATCGTATCCATAACTGCAGAATAACCGTAACATAATTTTACACTACTTAGGCTTTTCTTTTTCCATCTTGATTTTAGAGGTCAAAAACATTTTTCAATTTTTTTTTTCAATCATATAGTGGTGTAGACTAGTCTTTTAAGAACATTTTGCTGGAAAAATGTTTTGGATACGACGTCCCGTTATGGAGTTACGATTTAAATAACATGATGTCAGAAAATTAACCCAAAAGCTTATCTTATTAATTTTCTGTTGGTTACGCACCGCTGATTCGCAATGTTTGTCATCACTTTACGATGTCTACGACTCTATTGATCCGTGAAAAAGGCCTATATAATACAACAAAGGAATACAATACATTTCAGCATTACTAGAAAATTATGACATCACAATAGGGCAAAAGACACGTCTTTTGAAGTATACACTTTGCTGAAAAAGTTGAGGGGGCGTGTCTCTGTTGACGTTACGGTTGAATAATCCGCTGTGATCAGGTGATCTCTGTTCTTAACTTTTGTTTTTCTGATATTAAGTACACAGTGACAGTCACGTGTGTGTGCTTGGTGTGCGTGAAACACAATGGCGAGTTGGTGGATAAGTTCTCTTTACCTTGTCTTTTTGGCAATAAATTCACTACTAAATCCAACATCTGTATCATCGGCCGACTCAAATTATGGTATCGGTGTAGGTATAGCGGACATCACGGGTCCTGCGGCTGAAGTAAACATGGTAAGTCGAATGTACGATGCTACTTACGAAAGTACTGGAAACTGGGGAGGCCCGCTGATAGGGCAAAGGCAAAATGAATGAGTTGCTTCTTGAATCGCAAGTAGGAGGTGCGATTGGAAATTGGGAAAAAAAATTGGAGACAATCTCAGCAATAACTGAGCACATAAGCATTAATGTTAGGCTTTTAAGATTTTTTTTATTGCTATAAGGACAATGACTTCCAAAAAAAATTCAAAATCAACAGAGTAATCCTCACCCTGAGAAGGCATTAATATATTTATTGCAATGCCAACTTGTCCTTCATTTGAGGCGAACCGAAGGATAATTCCTTTATTATTAGTTTTGGTTTCCGTCAACAACTTTTTGTTGTGGTCTCGATTTAACTCTGCTTACTCTGAAGTTACCAGTGATAGTAACAAAATTTCTGATGTATGTCCAAGTAAATCCAATTAGAGGGCTCCGTTTCTTTACTATTATTTATAATTAATTTTTAATCTAAATAAAATAAATTTAAAAAATTGTAAATTACAAAATGTTATTTTGAAATATATCAATCGGTGATAAAGATGAAATGAAAACTCTTATTATGTTTTTTACTAAAAGCTTTACTCAATATCATTATTATATCATTTTTAAACATTATTTGTTTGTTTGTATAAATGATAATAGGTAGCATTTTGAAGGCTTTAAAAAACCAACCCCTTATGATGAATGAGACTTCTCAAGTTTGTAAAATGCATTTCCGTCACTATGTCTTCATATTTCCGTAGTAAATGAAAAATTTCTGTAGCACCTAATAATTTCCCTTGAATGTAAGATATGAGTTTTAAACTAACGGGACAGGATGAAGATTAACGGGCCACTTTTCTTTGTTGTCGCAATACATCAGTAATCTGACAAGTAACCAAAGATCCTAATTGAAGAATCATTTGTTCTGGACTTTAAACCTATTTATTTATGGGTCAAGGTCTATGATAAATTTCTGTAGTATTTTTGTTTATTTCTGTTACGTTCGTAATAATGCAACATTTCCTTAGCAACTTCTTCAGTAGTCGGTGAAAGTGAAACTAGGTCTTGCAAAATAAGGCCATGGAATATATAATTGGAATCATTGTAATATTCCATATCTTTATTTTCTAGATGGGTTATGCAAAACCAGATCAGAAGACAAGTGGAATTCATCTGCGGCAGTTCAGCCGAGCATTTATAATAGAGGATAAGACAAGTGGAAATAGGACAGTATTTGTCTCCATTGACGCTTGCATGGGGGCACAAAGCGTTACCTTAGAGGTAAGAATTGTAACTATTCAAGTGGATGTGATACTTCTTATCTTTTATTTTATATTCTTAAATCAATTAAAAATAACAGTCGCTAGTTACAGTGCCTGATAAATAACCAATGATATTGGATAAAAAAATTGCAAGAGAGTGAAGAATCCAACATATCAGTGGCGGATGCAGAAATTCAAAATATTGGGGGCCCGAGGAGGTGGTTTCACAGATGGAGGATCTATACCACTTCAGCCCCACCATGATTTGTGATTATGGCACCTCTAGATGACCGGAAATTGCACTCTCAGACTTGAAATTTGAATATAATTTTCTTTATATCTTCATTTAAAAAAAATGTTTTATGTATTAGGGGGTGGGGGCCAGGCCAGCTGGGCCCCCCTTGAATCTGCCACTGTATATAATCCAATTGATTGTATAGTTTTTAAAATTTTTTTTTATATGATCTTTAAAGATATTATAGGTACTGTAATGTAGAGGACCAGGTCCTTTGTCAGGATGACCACTGGTTTGGCCAGAGCTACTGACCCAGGGAAAATCCTGAATTCCATTACAATATATTGTTAATAGTAGGAACACTTATTTTTTGATACAGGTTGTAAAGAAGCTGAAAGTAAAATTTGGTGACTTGTACACGGAGCAGAATGTTGTCATCAGTGGGATTCACACCCACTCGGCACCGGCTGGATTCCTTCAGTTTGTTCTCTTTCAAGTCACTTCTCTTGGCTTTGTTAATCAGAGTTACATGGCATTGGTAGATGGTATTGTAGAGGTGGGTACTTGAAGATTGGAAGAATATCTTAAAGCTACATACATCCCCTCTGCTGATAATCTAATTAATGTAGAACCTGACCTCTAGTGTAGATAATTATACTGCAGAAACATCCTTGGGCGTGGTCTATCATGGCGATGTACATATTGTGGTGTTATCTTTAATAATAGAAGTTACTCAGTTGAATACACTAGTGTACAAGCTTAATAATCAGGGGTGGATTTGTGGGGGGGGCAGTGTCGGCTTCCATTTTGGAAGGTAAAATAGAAAACAAACAAGATAGAAAGAAAGCAAAAGAAAAAATTGATTGCCCAAAATGCCCCTGAGGTTATTTTCAGCTGTCTAAAACACAAAAGTTTCACGGGGGCATTGCCCCGGACCCCCTTGGGTAGTATTATCTCGATCAGCTCCACTTTCGTGACATTTCTGGATCCGCCCCTGATAATTATCAAATCCTCAGCCTCATTTAATGTGAATTTAACCAAGGACGTTTAACTGTTACCAGGATAGGAAGCTGGCTGGTTTAAGCCGTCTAACTTGAATTAGCCTTATGTGCAGTATTGTTATGCAAATGAGCCGGATAAGCACAATCTGCACATGCTCAGACAAACAAAACTTTCCTTAGCCACACGATGCCCACTCTGCGTATCGGCTAAGCGTACAGCTAGGCCTAACCGAGAATTACGGTACAGTAAAACAAAGCAAAATAAGGGTACTAATTTCACTTGGCATGCAAATCAATCATACTTACACACTTAAAAACAAACTAGTCTACCAATAAAATCCCCTGCAAGTTAAGATATAAGGCAAGTATGTCTACAAATTTGATTTTAAATTGATGTGATTAGGCTAGCCTAGACCCGGCCTAGGCCATGTCTAACCGCTTATAAAAATGCAGAAAAAAGACCCAAAACAAATTAGAATGAAGTTAGCAACTAACTAGTGCATTAAAATTATTCATATACTTACTACTTACCTATATAAAATTAAAGTGTATTGCTCACAAACGCCAATATTTGGATTTTAATACGCCTTTTCCACGAATCGGTAGACATATTGAAGTGATGACAAACAGCCTAAGTGAGTGGTGCGTAACAAACAAAAATAAGATAAGCTAGGCCTAGCTGCTGTACGCCTAGCCGAAACGCAGTGTGGCTAAGGAAAGTTTGTTTTTCTGAGCATGTGCAGATTGTGCTTACCTGGCTCATTTGCATAACAATACCGCACATAAGGCTAAATCAAGTTAGATGGCTTAAACCAGCCAGCTTCCTATCCTGGTATCAGTTAAAAGTCCTTGATTTAACTAGTTATGTTTACCCCCTTTGTAAAGTTGATGTTAATTAAGTACACAAAAAAATTTATTGTTTATAGTATATGCTTTCAATTATTTTTAATTTCAATATTTTCAGAGTGTGCAACGTGCTCATGGCAACATTGTCGATGGTGATATTTACATGAATTCTGGAGAACTACTGGAAAGCAACACCAATCGGAGTCCAACAGCTTACGAAAATAATCCAGCAGAAGAACGCGCAAAGTCAGTTTTTCCTTTCATTATCATATATGAATTTACAAGCATAGGTAAAAAAATATAACTTTTGTAGTATTGTGTCTTTAAAACCAATTTTTTTTTCATAATATTTATTTATTGTATACAGGTATGAATATAATGTCGATAAAACTATGGTTGTTTTGAAGCTTGTTGATAATGCTGGGACTGATCTGGGAATGATTAAGTAAGTTCATAATTAATTCTTCAATGAAAATGACAATACACAAGTTGGGCTGGTATGCTAAATGCTGGTACAGAACTCAAGATCATGTACAACAGGCTGTGCCTAGTCAAGAGTGGCATCAGTTAGGGAAGAAGGTGCTAGGGCCCTATCGGAGAGAGCTCCCTTCCCCCTTATAAGGGAGAAAAACAAATTGTAATTTTAATAAAAATTGAAAAATAAATAAATAAATTGAAATAGATTCAAATTCCTAAACTGTTAACTTTTACAGAGGAGAGGTCCACCCACCGTAAGGCTGAAGTCCAAGTGCTGGTTCAAAAGACAACTCCACTACCACAGTGCTAATGTCCAAGGGCTGGTACAAAAGACAAGTCCACCAACCACAAGGCTAATGTCCAGGGACTGGTACAAAAGGCAACTCCACCTACCATAGGGCTAATGTTCAAGGGCTGGTACAAAAGGCAAGTCCACCAAGCACAGGGCTAATTTCCAAGGGCTGGTACAAAAGGCAAGTCCACCAACCACAGGGCTAATGTCCAATGGCTGGTAAAAAGGCAAGTCCATCTACCACAGGGCTAATTACCAAGGGCTAGTACAAATTCATAACACTATCATTGTAAAAATATTTAAAATACAATTTAAAGAGTCGACCACTTAATTTTTTTAGCTGGTTTGCAGTTCACTGTACAAGTATGAACAATACAAATGAGTTGATTAGTGGTGACAACAAGGGGTACGCATCCTATTTAACTGAACGTCATTTCAACAAAGGAGCAGCACCTGGCAAGGTGATTTCCCCTCACTTATTTTTAATGTAATGTAAAATCTATTATATAAAACTATGAAATGTCTATTGGTTAAAAGCTATTTAATTAATCTAAGCAAAGTATTTGCACTATATAGATAATTATAGGATAAAGTAATTTTTTCTTAGCTATGTTTAGTATAATTCATGGAAAGTTATTAATTTTATTTCTTTATATTTTAACTAGGTTCACAGATACCATAGTATTTTTTTTATATCATATGTTGTGTTTGAACTTGTTCAATAATTAATTAATTTAAAAAGTTCTCAATTTTTTCTTGGTTTTCTCATGATGTCAGGGGAAGTTTGTTGCAGCATTTGCTCAGAGTAACCTTGGTGACGTATCACCCAACACAGATGGCGCCAAATGTATTGACACTGGTAAGCCATGTGAACGCAATAGCAGCACTTGCAATGGAAAGGTAATTAGCATATAATTAGCATATTGATGCTGAAGATTAAAAAACATGTCTTTAGCAGCATGTTTAAAAAAGGCAATTCATCAATGGGATGCAACATTGCACGTGTGTACAGTTCTTTGATTTTTTTTATTTGTCTTGGTTTAACTATCATCAGCAAATGAAATTTAGAATTAACTAACCTGTCAATCATTTTATTTGGAGTTAAAATCATTCTAAATAGAAACAATAAATGGGGATCCTTAAGGTCTCTTTATCATCTCTTTGATGCTTGGGATTGAAGGATTGAATTTGATTTTGGGAATAATTTTTGAGAGTGGTTGGTCTTAATGTCATCATCATCACCATCACCACCATTACTGTACAAATTAAGGTTTAGGCTTATTCCAGTTAAATGTTGAGGTAAAGTACTGCCATGGAAGCTTCTACATAATGGTACATCACATCCTTTTCTTATTCCCTATTAGTATTTTTCTCTTTATCCATTTCCTACATATGTGTGTTTGTGTTTTAGGTGGAGAACTGTATAGCAAGTGGTCCTGGTGTTGACATGTTTGATAGCACTAGAATTATAGGGGAAAACCAGTACAACAAAGCAATGGTAATTACATATACAATTCTCACTGAAATTCATTGCTTTAGAAATAAACAAACATATTAAATAAATTCAGTGGCATTGGCACATTCATTTGTGAAACAAGCCATATAAAGCCTATGATTATTTATTGTTGAAATGTATATTACTTTGCAGATGTTGTATTCAAATGCAACTATGAAGTTATCAGGTCCTGTTCAGTTTATGCATCAGTTCGTAGATATGACAAATGTAACAGTACAGTACAATGCTACATTCAAGGTTAGTCATTATAGAAGTTGTATTGCATTTCCTGCTTATCTTTCGTACAATTTGTTTACAAATAAAATCATCAATTCTATAGTTACTTCAGTAATATATGTTTACACTAATAGTGCACTGTAATTTTTACCAATATTCAATATTCTAGCAGGTTATATTTGGACCATGGGCCTCCTAGTGGCAACCCAGACTGGCCCTATACAATAAATATAAATTGTACATTTATACACAAATCATTTGTTATGAAGGTAAACTGCTATTACCAATTGATATGATTTTGTAGAAATTATTTCAGTTATAAGTCAAATTTCTGTTTTTTGAAATAAATCATCTCCGATCAGGGCGGGTCCAGAGATGTTTAAAAGGTGCTGATCGAGAGATAGCCGTACACTAGGGGGTACGGGGATCCCCCTGTGTAATTTTTGTTTTCTAGACGCCCAGAAATAACCTCTAAGGTGTTTTGGGCGATCAATAATATCTTCCTTCATTTTTTTTTTTTTACTTTCTAAAAAAGGGGTGGTGCCGGGGCCAGCTCCCCCCACTAAATCCACCCCTGCTGACTAGTTGCAAAGGTTGGAGTTTGATTTCTGTCTTGTAATTGACTTTCTCAGGGTAAGACATGCAAGCCAGCCATGGGGTTCAGCTTTGCGGCTGGCACAACTGATGGTCCCGGTGCATTTGATTTCAGCCAAGGTAAATGTTTCTTTCTTTATCTTTTGTCTCTGATAATCCTGAACATTGCTGGTTAATTAATGCAATAACATCATTAGTGGTACATAGTGTCCATGACAGACTTGGTTTTTGTAGCATTGAGTATTAGGTCTTGTAGCACGGAGTGCCAGCTTTGTTCCAGTAGCACACAGTGTCCATGGCAGAGATATACTGTACACTATTGTGGTGAGGTGTAGCTAATGAATTCTAGGACTATAAAGATGCCTCACAGAATATTTGTGATAGCTTATATAATATGCATTAAGATCAGGACTCGAAGAGGAATATAATGCATGTCTCTTTATCAGCATTCCAGTTATAAAAATTAATTTGTCAAATTACAGGCGATACAAAAGGAAATGCTTTTTGGAAACTCATTCGGAACTTTATCAAAAAACCATCAGATGAGCTTGTGGAATGTCACAAGCCAAAACCAATCCTGCTACCAACTGGAGAGGTAAGAATTCTGGCCTTTATTCAGATGCATAAAGAACACAACTCCTTCTCCTCCCCTTTTAATTGTGGGGGTGGGGAGAAGAGAGACCTGCTGTAGTTACTTCTCTTAAGTTTTGTGTCTTGTGTTAAACGGAAAAGTGCAGGCCAAACCCAATTTGTGGTTGTTTGTGTTTGTATAATAATAATCATATTTTGTTTCTTAGATTGATTTTCCATATCCCTGGCAGCCAACTATTGTAGACACACAGCTGACACGCCTTGGACAATTGTTTATTATAGCAGTACCTGGAGAATTCACGTAAGTCCAACAATCATTAAATATTTGCCAGTTTACATAAAAACATATTGATTTACAAATATAATGCTGTAGAAGCAGTTGGCGCATCGGTTGTGGCTTAGACTCCCAACCTTGAGGTCAGGGGTTCAAAACTCTCGCTGTGCAAGTTGCTTGTGTCCTTGGGCAAGGCACTTTATCTACGGTTGTCTCTCTCCACCCAGGAGTACAAGTGGGTACCTGGTAGGTTCCAACACAACTGCCCTGATTACTAACTGCAATATTATGGAATAATAATATAATTTAATTTAATAATTTAATTTGGTGTTCAATGTGTTCCATATGTGTTTGATCCAATGACCTGGGTAGTAATGTGAAGCGCTTAGAGGCTTTGTTAAGGCATTAAGCGCTATATAAGAACGACATATTATTACATATTTATTATTATTAGTTATTAAAATAAAACTGAGTGTCATAAAATGTGGTTTTTAAAGTTTTGCTATTTACAGACTTAAAAAGTTTTGTCATTTACAAAAACATTTGTCGGAGTGAGTGGTAGATTGCACACATTGTATGACCTCTATGTGTTTATCACATTATTACTCACCATTGATGTTACAGCTCATTATCAGCATATCTTGTTTGAACCAGGTACTCACTTACAATCATAAGTGCAGAATGACCACCTTAGGTAATTCACAGAGAAGTTTAGAACCAAAATCTGCTCCCATATAGAT